CTATAAAATTAATAATCTCCAACAAACATTCCCTAAGACACACTGTTATTTATATGCAGAGAATGGTGGCTTATTTATCCAAACATTAGAGTGATCCAAAATGTTCAGCTAAGCAGGAACACAAAATATGATATTATATTATGTAAATGGGTTTGTGATACGCTCTGCTGGATAATAACTTCCAGATGTCTCTGTAGCCAGAGGCTGACGGATATCAAAGGCAGGTTGGCTGGGAGGGGAGACGTGCCAGCTGGCAAGACTGGCTACTGCTAAGTGTAGCGGAAGGTGAAAGCTGGTATTTCTTCACACTCACTGGTTTTATCTGTGGGCTAGTGAAAAGTCAGTGGCTCACAGCCTTCTTTTTATGAGCAGGATAGGGCTTGAGGGGTTATAGGGATCCCACGTGTCCTGTTCTTTCACTGACTTATTTTGCAACCTCTTTTGTGAGTAGGGATTGAGTTTAGTCTGAGTCTCCTAACAAATGAAAGACTGACAAGCCACAGAGTAACACTGGCAGGAGCTTATAAACTACTTAGATAGCTATTCTGACTTACCTTTTATCATCAGCACTAAATGCACACAAGGAATCTCCCCGAGCTCTCAACGCCATGGTGTAAATGGAGTTAGTTGGAGCACCATACAATCTCACCAGTTTGGAGTCAGGTTTCCTAAATCTGTTTAGTATTAAAGTCGAACACCCCTGGGGGCTTAGCTACCTGTCCTCTTCCGAATGCAGCAGGTTGTATTCACCATCATTAAATGCAATGCTAGACTGAAAAGGGAATGGAAATTACTCCTGTGAAATGCCATTGAGGTTACTGACATGGACTTTAAGAAAGCCCTACACCTTCTGTGGAGCAGCGTTTGAGAAGGAAGATCTTTGCACAATCCTTATAGATGAGACTGCACCTGTTTCAACCACACATTGCTTTCTGAGAGCTTGACCTGTCATCTTAGTGAAAGCTTTCCGATTGACTTCAGTATGGTTTTCATTTACTTTAACTGATAGCCAAAAAAACCCCCAAAAGAGTGGCAAGGGGAACTGTAGGGTAGATTCTGCCACACTGTACTGTGGTTAATCCTCAGCTCATCGGTGCCACTTCCTTATCAAACTCAGGGAAGATGGTCTCTGAGAGACTCTTTCCCTGTCCTACAACGGCTCACAACAAATACCATAGTTGCACTTTTCAGAGAAAGAAGCATTTTATTAGCAGAAAATGCAGTAGGTGCATTATGATTTGCCCACGTTGGCACTGCACATACATATGTTGTAGTTGTAGTTGTGGGCTGCAAGCCCATTAGAAGAGACACTGGACAACTCAGAGCAAAGTGTTAATCCCAGGTTTGCAGAATGTAGGCTTAAAATAATACAGCTAGCATGGCACACATTGCATCACTTCATTAGCGGCCTCTAAAAAATTCTGCCACAATATGAATACTAAGGCATTAGATCATACTGAATCCAAATTCATAACAAATTTACATCCCAGTATGGTCTTTTCTCCTGTTGATTTTCTTCATCCCACACTTTGTAATCACTTTTTCTCCTTGTACTTAAAGGTTTTAATCTTTTTTGGTTCAGCTGTATTTCTCTAGCTTATCGGTGTCCTAAAGTAATAGACAGGCATAATTACTGAATTATCTGACTATTTTATATCCTCATTTAATTGTCTGTGTATTGCCAAAGACCATGCTTATATGTTCCATATTTGGTGTTTGATCTTGTTGTAACGACTTATAAATGTCACCGTGTAATTTTCAGAATGGAGAGTGGATTTAATTTTCCACTGGGCATGTGTTTCATGGACTGGTATCTCTTTTGCTACAAACACCCATCATCCTTTCACCATATGTGAGAGGGTGATGGCACCTCACAAAAGCAACAGGAGAGAAACCCTAAAGCAGTAGCACTCGAGGTGCTTGATTTGATTGTGAGAAGGATTATGGACAGACTGTGTTCTGATGATACTACAAAAGGTAGAGGAATATTTTTTCTTTGAAAATGTCTGCCTGAGATTCTGGAAAGCATATGGCTAGTAAGGCCATAAGAGAAAGAGCAGTTATTATCTCAGGGAAAGCTGTTACTCAGCAAAAACAGAATTATAAACTGTATTTTATAATTAATTTAATTTGGTGTCACATTCTGCTTTTGAGTTGAACTTTAGATCCTTGTAAATTCAAAAGTACAGGAGAGTTTTCTGGGGCTTGTGGTTAGTCATTGGTGTTATTCCAGAGATGTTCTTGGATGTTTCAGTCAGAGATCTGAATAGTTCTGGCATTTGTACTCACCAGACTTTGTTACGGCATTTGTACTCACCAGACTTTGTTACAGCATTTGTCTCACAGCTTTTAAGCAGTAGAAAACATGTACAATGTATTTAAACAACACGAGAGAAATTAAGGTCATGAGAATGCATTGTCAACAAATGAAGATAAAAAAGAGCTGTTGTTTGAAAAAAAAAAAATTGTTGTTGCAAGACGCTTTTGGAATTCTGCATACCAAATTCAGAGTCATGTTGATGATTTATTCTAATGTAGGAAAACATCATCAAGAGTGACAAGCAAGCTAGTCACTGTCTAGTCACCTGCCAGCAAATATTTCATAAAGACTAAAAAGGCTGGTACTGCCTTGCTGAGCTGACACTAATTATTTCAGTATACATGGAGCTTTGGGATTCATGTTAATTCTCAAGTCTGTCTTTAGTTCAGACTCATTCCACTGTGTAAACTCAGCAGAGCGCAAATTATTTGACCATCCTTTCATAATCTGTCCCCATGCTCACTTGCCAATTATATAAACTGATCCAAATACCTGTTCTCAAAGGATCCCCATTTGGGGATCGCAAGCCAATTAAAAAAAAAAAAAAAAAAGTAATATCTACTTGTCTGTAGTTTAGGTCTGGTAGTCATATTTCATGTTACCATTCATTTCTGGTTATCTTCTATAGATAACATTGTTTCCATCAGTGTTCAGAAAAGATACCTTTCTGGTGATAAAACCCCTTTCAGATTAAATCTCTACGGATATCACATATTGCATCCCATAGGAAGAATGAGATCAATGGTACCTACCAATATCCCAAATAGCCTGAGAAAGTCTCCCACTGCTGCATCACGATGCTGTTTCTTTGTTCAGTACACACTTGAGTATGTTTAGAACAACATCTAAATATTGAACAGTTGTGTAGTGATCTTGCAGCAACTTAGTGACGATGATTGTCGAAGGTGTATGAAACAGCATTCAGTAAAACATAAAACAGCAGTCACCTTAGTGGCATGAGTTAGTGTGAGAGAGGATTTGAGAAATGTGGCTATGTGTGTGACTGAAAAAGACCATACTTTCTGGGAAAATTCAGCTCTGGAACTGGCTCGTTTTTAAGATTTGCAGTAAAAATATCTGCAGTTTTGCATAAACACTTTCAACCATTGCAGCCAGTGGATGTCTGTCCTCCAGAGGTAACACCAATTGGAGCCATAATCAAGATGTGAGAATGGCCTCCTTGCTGCTATGCCTAACTCCTGGCATCCAGAAGGTCTGCACGGCTTTGGAGGCACCACTCAGTTCCATATACTGTTTAGTTTTCATATACTGTATATTTTTGAGGTGACTGCCTCCTTTGTTGCACTTCCAGATCAAGAACTGAAATGTGCCAATAGATGGATTTACATCAAACTATAAACCTTGAAGCAGTGAATCCCACTGAAATCAGTGCCTACAAATAGCTGCTTGCAAATGTTTGTAGGATGTTTGAGTTTGTACATTTGGAGTAAGACAAAAAGTGACTCTGGCTTAAAATTGCAGGAGACTCAGAAAATACTTTGATGCTTTTTCCTCCAGTGTTCTTGGGGCTTGGGGCATTGGTTTTTGGGGTGGGGTTTTTTTTGAGAAAAATAGCTGAAAACTGTAAAATTCAGACAATAGTATTCCCAGTGGATCTTACCTCAAATGAAGATAATGTGGCTTGCTGTCTTTCTAATTTATGAAAGTTTAAACATTTTCTGGTGGGAGTGCAGGTCACCAGATGGTTAAAAAAGCTTGTCTCTATTAGTTACCTTTTCTGCAGGCTTTCCAGAAGTAATGCCTGGAATACTAAAAAGCCACAGAGTATTTAAGTATTGGTTAACCTGTGAAGAGTCTCTCCAAATCTACATTTCATTGATTCATTATGCTATTAGGCAGAAATTTTCTAATAATGAACCACACTCTTTAAGTCCAAACCATGGTCCTACCATTTCCATTTTTATGCCACAGCATTTTAATGTGTCCAACACCAAAACATGCTGTGCGCAGAATCTGTAGCTTAAAAAAAAACAGTCACAAAGAAGGACTCAAAGGTGCCCTAAATAATGAAAATCATTAGCTAACTCAGACATGTTACAATTTCCAGGCTGTGTGAGGAGATGTGTATTTGGGATTTGCGTTCAAAACCCAGCTCTTTAAAAATGTCATTCCTCATGAAGCACTAAGAAGTTGAACTAATTCACCTTTGCAGCCATGGAACTGACTCTCCCTCTGGTTGTGGTTTGGTTGGTTTGGCAGGATACATCTGCACAACCTCAGACTGCAGGTTTCTGTAGCCCTGCTAACACCAAGGAGCAGGGTACCTCCGTACTATAAAACTGGACCCATGGCACAGACTGTAAAGAAATCCTCTTCCTTTTTTTGTGTTCTGATAGGTTGCATTTATTAGAAATTTGCAGAAACTTCTTTACTCCAATGTGCTGCTAAATCTCCTTGCAGCTGGTGTAATGAAGACGATATATTCTGGGAGGCATCTTGATTTGAGAGTGACAGCTCCATATATTTGTGAAAATGAAGTGGCAGCAGAGTTGCCAGTAAAGCATATTGTGTCTTTGTGATGCAGAAATATATCATGTTAATAACAATAATTTTCACAGTTACATGTGACCATTTGCACACAGGGAAGCACTGCAGTTGGGAGAAGTTCTAAGAAGCGAGGAAGAAACTAACTGGTTTTGCTTCCTTGTTTCCAAAACAGCCGAAAGGAAGGAAGACCATGCCTGGAGAACTGGCGCAGCAGCAAAGCGACACTCTGCTCCCGTGGCGCCAGCACCAGAGCGCTAACGGCCTGCGGCGACAGAAGAGAGACTGGGTCATCCCACCCATCAATGTGCCGGAAAACTCCAGAGGACCCTTCCCACAGCAGCTGGTTAGAGTAAGTTAAAAAAAAGAAACAGAAATAATGAAAATAATAGCAATCTTGCAGTGGGTCTAGTGAAGGTAGTAGGTGTGGTCCGAGCTCGTGGCATGGGAAGCCTGGCTTGAAGCACAGGCTCTCTGCTCTTCCTCATGCAGAAAAAGTTGCCTTTTACACACTGCTGAAACGCTTCTTTTCCAGAGCGACTTGCCCCAGATTTCCCTCCCCCAGCTGAACGGCAGCCTAATCGCCTCCTTCCAGCCAGTCCCTCAAGAGATGCTGGCGTTGCTGCCAAGATGGCACTTTGCCCAAGCTCTCATCCAGAAAACAGCTGCAGGTGTAAAGCTGGGCTTGGTGACACCCAGCGACGAGGGGGTGCTGCCTCCTTCCCTTCCTTCGTGCAGATGCGTGGTGGGGCTCGAGGAGGTTGGCTGCCTGCCGCCACTGCAGATGGATCCCTCATCCACTGTATGTTGCTAGTTTCTTTCTTTACAAGGGTGATGTCTGAGATCAAGTTTACCCATGTGGTTTTCTGTGATGATTATTGGATGACAGGAAAAGAAAAAGAAGTGAAAAGGGGCCTTTGACAGACACATTTGGTTGATATACTATTGCTGTTGATAAGTGTTAGCAAAATACAAATACATGTTGCTATTACTCTTGTGGGTGCTGGTTTCAGTTTTTGGAGCAGCCGAAAGCTTAGCTGTTAAAAAAAAAGAGAATTCCCTGGCAGCCTTTTTCAACTTTTCCCTTGGAAGAAAATGGCAACAATTATAAAATTTCAGAACTTATTTTGAGCAACAGTGGTGTGTCATTGGCATCCCTTCTCAGGAAGTTCACCTAGTCATCTTGAAACAGTGCCTGGATTCAAATGAGTTGACATCATTACCTGTTTCACACTGATTAGCTGATACTCTTCTGCACAGCCCATGTCTGGGAGGAAGAAAGGAGCTTGCTGAGTCCTTTAGAAGTTCAAGTGAATTTTGCAGTGACTCATGCAGTGACTGTAGGTGCATGTTTCCAATTCACCAAGTATTCAGAAAACTTGAATTGTTGATGTCATTTCTTTGTGCAATTAAGGAAGTACACCAAGGAATAAAAAAGTAGCAGCTGGCAAATGTTTTTATGTCTGTCCTGGAAAACAGGGAGGGGAACCAAGATGTCTGTGTGGTCAGCAGTGCTGGGTATGGAGTGACCCGTTAATGTGTTGTCCTACTAAGTTGAAGAAATGTCTGAAGAGGATAATAACCTGTTGTGTCAAAAATATCTTCCTAAATCAGATTAATAATTTAGATTAATTCCTCAATTCCTGTGAAAAATACTTGCAGAATGAATTTACGCCCTGTCCCACTCCCTGCTGATTTCTTTTGAGCTTTGACTACACAGCAAGAGGACAACTTGGCACCAGCTTACCATGGCAAATCTGTTGATTTATAAGGAGTGAAATCTCTGTGACACTTTTCCCCCCTACAGTCTGGAGATGAAATAGGGCTCAAGAATGCAGAACTCCAGTATTAATGAAAGTGACAAATAATAAATTTTGTACAAGTATAGAAGAATTTATATTTATCACTAAACTACCAATAACTGTGGAAAGATAACCTAGCCGATGGAAACAGAGAGCTCCCAGATGTTCAGAAATACATTCCACTGCAGTTTTTAAATACAGAGGAAGCACCGAAAATGAAGTAAAAATGGGATGGGAAGAAAAGAAGTGGCTTACAAAAGGCTGCTTTCCTCTTCACCTGACATACAGAAAGTATTGGAATGACAGGGAAGATCGTACAAAGAGTTCAACTTGATTAAGCACGAGACCCCTGATGTTTCAGGCTTGGGTTGCGTTTCTGCTCATCTGCAGCATCTGGCCTATTTGCTGGCCCCAGAACGTGAAGCTTGGGTGATTCCTAGCGGGAGTTACAGCTTCCCTTATTAGACTTTGCTCTTTAATTATCCAGAATAGGACAAATCAATGTCTTCAAAGACAAGCACTACCTGACTATTTCCATCCAGATAATCTTCAGAATGCCCTGGAGCATTCTGCTGTCTCCTAGATCTAGGTAACAGTTTTGATCTGATTTCCCATGCTTTTGCTCGCTGGGTGCTGAATATTTTTGTGTCCATCTGCTCACAAACTGGAGCTAGAAGTGCACATGTGAAGTTACAGCTCAGATCACATTAGTACAGAAGGAAGTCTGTCGCAATTTTCTCTGCTACTCTATAGTATGAGTTCAAACCTAACACTAGTTCCTGGACACTGAACTTTTTTTGGTCCAGAGAGCCCTGCTTGAACTTACATTTTATAGGTATAACTAATGGAAACCAGTCCCTCCATTATGCTATCTTTGGTTCTGGTTACCTCCAAGGAAAGGAAGGAATGGCATGAAAAATCTGGATATTAAAAAACCAAAAAGCCCTCCCAGAAGTACATTTTCATAGTACCACTTGCTGTTTGCGTTTTTATAGGTCAGACTAATTTGAAATGCATAGGCAAATCTTTTGGGTTGCCTCCTATTCCTGCTTCCTATTGTGAAGGCAAAAATTCCATTTTATGGAAGTTGATTAGTTACTTGTCAGTATTTTTAGCAAGGCTGTGCCTGAATGAAGTTTAAATCATAGCAAAGGTGAATGCAGCTTGATGGGAGCCACATACCTCGAAATGCAGCCCTATCTGGTTCAGCTGGGATCAACTATAATTCTCTGCTCATTAAACCATTTCATTCTGATAAAATACATTAAATGAAAAAGTTTTTAGAAAAAAAAAAAAGAAAAATGGAAGTCGTCACAACATTATCCCTGCCAAAAAACCCCTCTGTTAATTACAGGGTTTTTTCTTTCAAAAGAACATCCGTTTCTGTTCATATGCACCAACCATACTAACTAGCAAATATATTTCAGAAAAATAATATGTAAAAAATAATAATAGGAATTCCTGATTAGGTTTGGCTGCTGAAAGGTTTACTTATTCTTCAAAGAGTTTAAATAAACACCTGATATATAAGCTAAAAATAATTTTCATTGGTATAAAAAATATTTTGCAAATTTTGGTTTTGTCTTTGAGATGAGAAAACAGTTATCAAATTTTATGTTTATATCAAATGTTTATTTATTTTGCAAACATTTATGAAAATCTTGAGTTTAATTTCCTTGTGCTTCACTTCCACCTCTGAATTAAAAATAATATTTTACATGCTGTGAAATATTTTACTGTAGTGAGGATAATTTCATTACTAATTGTCAGGTATTCTCATTATTATAACTATGAGGTCCATAAAAATGCCTATTAAAAATACAAACCAAATATGAAATCCCCCTTCTTCTCCAAGCAAATGACTCATGCAGGTACACTGATCAACAAAGATAATATATTAAATAGTTGCGCCCTTGCTGAGTACCATCTATTTTCCCACTGACTCATCCTTTCTGACTACATGTGTAGCTAATTCTTAATTATTATCTAATTATCTATTAGCTAATCTTCTATTTCATCCTCTTTTGAACTTCAAAAAGTATCTCAGTTTTGGATCCATATACAAGTCTCTAGCTTCTTCTAACAGGAATCTTGAGTCAGCTTTCAAGACTGAAGTCTTGGCCCATCTCACTGGGCTGCATGAAAATCATTATTCTAAAAGACTAATAGTCCTGTGCAGGACCAGCCTCTTGTCATGGCATGGTTTGATAATGGGCTTCTCTATCAACCACTGCAACTGTATGCACCTTTATGAGTGCTCTCCAGGACTTTTCTGGAGCTCTTGGGAGCCGCCTGTCTCTAACTTGATCTGCATAGACCCTAATTTTTCAGCTTGCCTTTATTAAACTTGGAATTGAAGAATGTGGTATTTGCCCATTAGATCTATTACAATAAACAACTTGTTCATTCTTATTACACCGTCCTGAATATCCACTGAGGATGACCGAGACAGGATCTTGGTGCTCTTACAAACTGCCCTGATTGCGGCTACAGGCACAGCATGATCTCTCATACACGAGCGCTGGTAATCTCAGGCACAAGAATACCAGAAATAATCTAATGTGTGTAACAGGGAATAAGAGGGAAGGATGCATTTTATGTAAATTTAATCAGAAAGTTCTGAAGTGGTTCGGAAAGTTGGCAGAATATAATGTACCTGAAGACTCTTGCGTTGCTTCTTAGCAGAGCTGTCATTGATTGGTTGGGTTTCATGCGGCACAGTGTATGTTAAAGGAGCAGAGAGCTTTTCCTAGCACACTAGAAAACCCCATGGTGGACTCATGGGTGGGTTTAGCACATGTTAAGCTATACAGTGATATCTGATACTTAATATGAAAAAAAGCTGATTATGCCCTAAGAGCTCCACAGCCTATTCGTGTGCCGTAGCCCATCCTGGCACAGGAAATAGGTATAGTGAGGCAGTTCTCCAAAAATCTAAAATCCCAGTATTGGAGATACACCTGAGGTATACTGAGCTGCAAAACCCCTGCCGACTTGGACCATCGACCCTCAATATTGCCATTTCCTTTGCTCATCATGACTATTTCAGTATGCACCTTTGCACTGTTTTAAATAGTTTTATTGTAGGAAATCCCTCATGCCTTCTATATCAACCATGTTGCTTACTGCTGTGAAATTGGCAGTTTAGAATCCATTAACTCCCAGCTGCAAGACAGATGGCATCTGTCTGTGGTGAGAGAAGGTTTGTTGAGAAAAGGCCTTGCAAATGCTTCCCAAAGGACATCAGACCTTACTTTTCCTGAGAGACACGCAGACAGCCTTGATTACAAATAGGCCTAGATCTTCCTTGTTCTTCACAGGAACAGGTGTTTCTTTTGCCTTACCAACCCCACAAAAAAAAAATTCTAAAATTTCTAGTTCTGGCTCTCAGTACATCTTGTCTTTGGTACCCCTGTGAGCATCACCACCTGAAATTCAGAAATTAGGCAATTTGGTCTTTATTGTGACAGTCAGACAGAGATACGAAGGAGGAAGCCCAGAGGGTAGAGAGGAAATGGGACATTGTGCATGTTGTGTTGCTCTGAAAAGG